AGAAAATCTGATCAGAATGACAAAATAAACTAAGCATCCACTGGAAGGAATCCAAATATCTGCAGACGGATCCGTTTCGGATTATATATGTATATTACAAAATGATATGTTTAGGCCTGGTAAAGTTCGTGTGTTTGTACCAGGCCACTTCGTTATATTGTATAATCTGATCAGAAATATATGCAGTACTGTACTACGTATTTTTAAGTACATACCATGAAACAAAATAATTATATATGTTATTAGCTCTTACGAAGGACAACGAACAATTAATAGTTATGTGTGTAAGTGAATTTTACGATTGCATTTAATCCGACGTAATTTTAGAACACGCTTATGTGGTCGCTGAAAAATGCTTAAAAAGAGAATAATGTTAGGCTACCTAGTTTTAATATTTGGTCTAATAAGTTACCATATAACTGCTTTTTCTATTTTTCCCCTAAATTTAACAATAATTAGGATCTAATAAAACACGTACAAAAAAATGTTAAATTAAATTAGGTTCTTCGAAATACTTCTAGAAACGAAACGTAATATAAATAGGAAATTATTAACAATATATTGAGATGTAATAAATACATAACTATATTTAAGATCCACCTATGTTATTCAGATTAATAATTATTTCAAAACAATTAGTTTTATATAAATACAATTGTAGAATTGATTCGATTGAATGTGAATCAATTTTCATGTAGACTACAAATAGGGCATGTGAGTTTTAGGGCTGGGGTGAGGGGGGTGGGAGTTAAAAGTTCACATCATTTATACAGATAGGCCTAGTAATTTTGTTTAATGCCGGTATGCTGATGACAGTGCTTTAGCAGTCTGAACGTCCACCCCAGGATTGTTTGGTTAGGTAGTGAACGTTGGTCATTGGATTCTTGTATTTAGAGAACTAATAAAATTAATTTGAATTAGTGGAGTTACGTCATTGCCTCGATCTTTACAGTTTTGTTACGATGGATGTAGTGGCTATGAAGGTCGCACAGACCATAGTGAATTAATGCTCCTACACCAAGATGCATATTATTGTGTAGGCCTATTATAATCCATTCTAGATTTTTTTTTTCTTTTGGAAAAGTTATAATTATTTTCTTCATTAAAAACCAATTTAAAGCAATAAAATGTATTTTATAAAGGCCACTTTAATAGTCTAGCTTCAATTCAATAGGAACATTTGAACAAGTAGTCCTAGCAAACGTCTTTGTAACTGCCACTGTATTTTCTCCTAAAGTGTTATTGCAAAATTATTAATGTATTAATGTAATAATTGAATATCTCTTAATGTAATACAAATGTGGTATATATCATAGGCCTTTAATATTTACAATTCTTTATTTTAGATCAATTCTTCCAATTCTATTCTTCCATTGGCAAAAATGGTTTTAGATTATTTAGAAATATCATATGATTGATCACGTTAAACAATAATGCGGGCCATATACAAAATATGACATTGAAACAATATACCATCGTTATCATGTGATTGTCATCAACTACCAACTGCAGGGATAATGGCTTGAGGCTATCTTTGTTGAAATGTTTAAACATATCCCGCTTTTTAGACCTTTGTAAAGATCAATAATCCCTTAATGTAGGATCTATGAAGATTAAAAGATTATAACATCCACACTTTCAGCTGCAATTTTAATATCACTGTACACTCTATCCTTCGAGTTCTATGGGAAGCATAATATATGTTTTGCTTTTGAAGGTCACTAATGTTTATGTGGATAGGGGTACAAAAGTGAGTTATTCTCGACCCATAATTTGCCAGATTCTAAACATAAAGTCCCTCCCTTTGTTTACTATCTTTCTTTGATTTAAATTAGATATCAGATCTTGCTTAATGGCCGGATAGCTGTAAGCCTTTGGATCAATGCGAACAGCGCAACATACCATGTGTTCCTATTGAATATCACTCGCGGAGGTGAGGGATAAATGATGCGTTCAATCCCACTCTTTAGGGCCTAGTCCGGAGAATTTACGTATGGATTTGTTTCTACTTACCCAACGGAAATTTAGGGAGAATAGTCTAACTAATACCTTAATTCTAGCTACAAAGCCGATTCTTTTATAAGAGATGCGGTTATAAACACTTGTTTCAGTCAGTCTAAGTAGTATCGAGAGAACACATATTGTTCCTAATTTGATTTTTATAACATCAATTATTTTCTTGAAAAGCTTTACAGGAAATAACTGTATAATAAACTACAGTGGAAATGTTACCTACAAGAGAATGCGAGATTAAAGGTAATACCTTATATTAGTGTATTGTTTGGGCTTTCTTTTATCACAAAGATTCCGATTTCATTGATCTGGATGACGAATAAGTAATCAAATTTGTTCAAAATTCGATGACAATATGTAGTTTAGTATTAAATTACACTAACTTTTAGGAGTGTGTGTTTTGTGGAAGTTAAGGTGTTTTTAGGAGGTATTATAAGCAGGTACCCCACTGTCCGTCTAACGAGTCTCCTTTTGTGCCCCACATGTCAATTACTGGGAGTAAAATTAATAGATTGAAGAGTAAATTTACTTGGAAAACATTTACTGTATAGTCAGTCAAGGGAAATTGACTGGGCCAAGCTATTTGTCAACAAAGCACACTTCAGTTGGCTATAGCATCCTAGCACAAAGATCGACCGGCAGCGATTGGCCATGACTATGGGGCTGGAGTAGCATATATCTTACACTAGCGTTACAGTACGCTATTATATTACTAATGAAAGTTACTAAAGAATCTTTTATTTTACTTTTATGATCAACAACGATTACAATGCTTAATGAAGCTTTATACATTTGGGTGAAAACTCATGAAATAAATCCCTCATGTTAATTTGAAATGTGTTATTTGACATGTTTTCTTCTATCGATAATGGTGTCTTTAGAATTACGTAAACAAGCTTTAAATCCGGATTAGTTTAATGTTTACATTTCTTACATATCGGTTGCGGAGGTGTAAATTAAACGACTATCTCATCAGTAGGCCAGACAGTAAATTTACAGTAATGTCAAGAAGACAGGCTCAAGTAGAACAGAGTGTTTCTATGCCAATCGCATTACTAACCCTACACTCGATGGCTACAGATTGTTCAAAAGCCCATAGATTCGGCACTGAACACTTCGTAACCGACATGAAAAATTGTTGCTTATTGATTTTGGTTATTATTTTTTAGCATTGTAAAAGTGAGTATGGTTTATCAACCCGGGAAACGGCCATCTTTACTGTCTATCAGTAGTCATGTGAAGTTAGGAAGAAAATTTCCAGATGTAGCAGCTTCAGCACTCATTTACCCTCGTCCGTTACAAGTATGTATTTTACTTTTTCTTCTAGTGTAAATATTGGTGAAACTAATATATAAATAAACTTAGGCATGTGTGTAAGATGTTAACGGATTTCTATTGTGTTTTCTTTCTTCAACAGAACAATTAATTATATTAATTATCCACGTACCCTTGATATTTCGTTGAGTGTATGTTCAGCTGCTAAGATGCGACTCCGCGCCATTTTGTAATTTTTCGCTTTATGAAGAATGTAACTAGGTTTTGTCAAATATGGATGTATTTTTAAAGGTTAGATAAAGCAGAACATACAATACTTCAAACAAATAGTAACAGGTGTTTTTCTACGTTGATGAGACCAAATTGCATTAATCATTTGCCGTCAAATTGTATGGACATGATAGAATTCAAGTTTGATTTTTTTTTTACACATCACTTTTCATAACAAACCGCACTAGTTTTGATAAATGACAGTACACAAGGTGGGTACAGATACATTAACCTTGGACATTGCCTGCCAGACAATTCTATCCACCAGACAAAGACATCATATTGTAGAATTTGATATTCATATCAAGATATTTCAAAAGAATACAACTAATCAAACCGAAAGGTGATGTTTTAAAAGTTAACAAACTTTGACGTTGATCGTTTATTGTTCTATTTTTTTTCTTTTGGCTGAAAATAGTTAGTTTTCGACACAAATTAATATTCATTACAACTGTTCCTAAATTTTAATACGGAAAGAGAAATGTAAAAGCATCTGCCTACAGTCGACTGCTATTATATACAATACACTGCACTTACGGGATTGTGGCGTAGGGTGTTAGTAAGCCTGCTCACTCGGAGCTGTATCAACATTCTAAGCGGCGTTGAGGGTGTTTAGTTGTTGGGCATTGTCAAACAATGTTGGCCTATGCATCCATTGACGTACGTAGACTAGTATTGATTCAATAGGCCCTATTCATATTGTTTTCATATCTTACGTATGCTTTTTCATTAACTAGCCTATTATTTATAATTGCTGCAATCTTACTCTATATTCTGTACTAAGGATCGATCGTTACCCAAAATGAAATGTTTCATTATATAGACGCATCGGCCAGTTTCTTCATCATGGGCCTATGTATTGTAGCCATAATGCATCCTTCCATGCTAATACGATGTACTACTGTATATATAATTTTTTATATCTTTATTGAATTTTTTTGTAATTGATCATCGTTTCAAAACAATGGTTTGTATATTGTGGAGCACTTTTGTGATTCAAATTATAGCCTAATTGTATTTTTTATATAAACTTCGAGTTTCTGCTTGTCATTAAAAAGACTGGCCTAAGCATACACTTTTTAGTTTTTAGTGAGGGATAACCCTCTAAAACGACCTGTAACTCCTAACTTCAATGTGTTAGTAGTACCGTATCTGCTTCTAAATATACATTTAAATGATTTATTCAATTTGTTTATTTTTTAATATAATTTTAATCCTAAGGTTAAGGTTAAACTAGTCTCAAATTCTGTCTACACTATGAAATATTAATGTGACAAATTTGTGTTATGTGCCCATAAATGGGCCTGATGATGTCATGTTACACCCAAATATGGGTATGTCACTGTTCTTTGGCACATAATATTTGAGAGGGTGGACAGAGCTTTGATTTCCATGGGATAGGAATACAGGAACTTATTTATCATTCTTCGTATAGGCCTTTGTTTAAACCAAAAGAACATGTCATCTCAAGTTTATTACCATTGTTGGATTTAATATTATCAAATCTAATATAATGTTGAACTGATTCTTTATTTACATACTTTTTAACTAAAATGATAATAACATTGATAATACAAAATGGATAAATAGGTCAATATTTTACTTTTATTTACACATTTCTAACTGGTAAGTTTCAATTGCACTATAATCATTATAGTAAACCAAGAAATGCAAAAGATTAAATAGATTACAGATTTATAATAAATATACATGTTTTCTTCGTTGAGAAATAAACAGCACTTAGTTATAACGAACAATTTCATACATGACACAAAATGATGATTTATAGGAAAATTAATAAACGACTAAAACGGCGGGTATGGTTTTCTTGCGAAAGAAGTGTCAATAGACATTACATCTGCCGCACCATATAATAATTAACACAACGAAAAAAAAAGTTTTGTTCATAAGTAATTTTCAAAAAAACGAAGAAGATTAAGACGAAGACGATACGAGCAAAGAAATATTCTATGGATGGGCTTCTACAGACTTCCTCATCGCGGAAATGTGTCATCTCAAGTACTCTGTCATAAGGCAAAGACCATTCAGCGAGAAATGAAAAATGAGTTGAAGTAAAGTTGCTTTTACCGTCTGCAGATTTCTTACATTCATCTGGTCTACACTAGGTCAATGACACTTTCAGATATTCACTTTCTAGTTTTATTACTCCGAATGTACTCGTCAGGCGGTCATTGGCGTTTCTATCCTTTGTCCACACATCACTTGTCTGCGGACAAGACAAAATTGATGGGGACAATTTGAGTGATGATTGCCTGACCAAAGAAAAACGAAATGTCAAATAATAACCTATTGTTGACAAACTACGTGAATCACAAATTTGAAGTAAGAACATGCCTTAGGTAAAACGATACTCAATTGATAGTTTAACGCTCAACTGCTGTTAACACTTACTACTACATCAACATGCTGTTGCTATTTTAATTGTCACTACTACTAATGCTACTACTACTACTACTACTACTACTACTACTACTACTACTACTACTACTACTACTACTACCGCTGCTGCTGCTGCAGCTGCTGCTACTACTGCTTTGCTTCTATTGCTGCTGCTACAGATATTATATATATACATATACATACATATATATATACATATATATATATAGTATATATATATATTATATATATTGATATATAGGCCTATATATAGACCTATGTGTTTGTATATGTATATGTGTGTATGTATATGTATATAAATATATTATATATATTGATATATAGGCCTATATATATACCTATGTATGTGTTAGATGTGTATAAGAGACAGGGCCTAAGCATACACTTTTTAGTTTTTAGTGAGGGATAACCCTCTAAAACGACCTGTAACTCCTAACTTCAATGTGTTAGTAGTACCGTATCTGCTTCCTAGGCTCTGTCTCTTATACACATCTAGATGTGTATAAGAGACAGTATAATTATGATCAATGGTGATCATTATCAAAACCATGTTTATCATTTCGTAGACATTAACCTCTACAAACGTTTCTTACCAAAATACTGTTTTGTATATAGACCTATGTATGTGTATATGTGTGTGTGTGTATGTATATGTATATACATATATTAAATATATTTTGATATATAGGCCTATATGTATATAGACCTATGTATGTGTATATGTGTGTGTGTGTATGTATATGTATATACATATATTAAATATATTTTGATATATAGGCCTATATGTATATAGACCTATGTATGTGTATATGTGTGTGTGTGTATGTATATGTATATACATATATTAAATATATTTTGATATATAGGCCTATATGTATATAGACCTATGTATGTGTATATGTGTGTGTGTGTATGTATATGTATATACATATATTAAATATATTTTGATATATAGGCCTATATGTATATAGACCTATGTATGTGTATATGTGTGTGTGTGTATGTATATGTATATACATATATTAAATATATTTTGATATATAGGCCTATATGTATATAGACCTATGTATGTGTATATGTGTGTGTGTGTATGTATATGTATATACATATATTAAATATATTTTGATATATAGGCCTATATGTATATAGACCTATGTATGTGTATATGTGTGTGTGTGTATGTATATGTATATACATATATTAAATATATTTTGATATATAGGCCTATATGTATATAGACCTATGTATGTGTATATGTGTGTGTGTGTATGTATATGTATATACATATATTAAATATATTTTGATATATAGGCCTATATGTATATAGACCTATGTATGTGTATATGTGTATGTGTGTATGTATATGTATATACATAAATTTATATATAGGCCTATATATATATATATATATATATATATAATTATGATCAATGGTGATGATTATCAAAACCATGTTTATCATTTCGTAGACATTAACCTGTACAAACGTTTCTTACCAACATATTATTTTGTATCACGTTATAAAATGAACAGTTCAAAACAATTATAGGCCTAGTACTTGTGTAAATAATTAACTATGAGAAATATATCCATTATCATGCCTAAATCTCTGTAGCCTCCAAATTGTAAGAAATTACTCCTTAATTGATGCTAGTAAAATACTTTTATATTTTCAATTATTATGTATATATCAAACAACGATAATGTTCAATTCCAAGTGTAACAATATTAAACATTAGAAAATATTACAAATACAAATAGATGTAAATACAAATTTTAGTATTTGATGATTATAACTTACCAAAATAAAAGTATTTCGAAATATTTGAATATTTGTAGGCCTATGTATTTTATTGATCATAATTCTATATGGTTGACGTTACATTCATATAAGAAATTTATAGACCGTTAATGTGATAGCCTGGTTGTCCAGACTGTTTTGGACTCCAAACGAGTCATAGTCTCCAGTTCGTACACTTAATACGTTTTATTAACTCGTACTCATAATTGGGAAATGCAGAACAGAACGAATTCTGACGGCTGTAATATATTTGTGAAGAATTTATGATGACTCATTTTTTACCTAACCTTGATGCTTTATTCAAGGTCGCAAGCTGAGATGATTTTGTAAATATAATAATTAATTAGAAAATATTATGAAAGTAGGTCCATCGATTGACATGCGTTTATTAATATAAGCCTATACACGTTGGTAATTAAAATACTTATCCTTGTTAAATTCAAATAATGTATAAATAAATTCATAATGTTTATGGATATATTTTAAAGTGTAAACACCGTAAAAAATATTGGAGTCAATTGACTAATAATTTTAATATATAGGTTAATATAAATTTAACATAGTCCGTGTATTAGGGTTATGATATTGAAAGCAGATATAGGCATATGTTGCTAATGGAATCAAAATAAATAGAAAATGTTATAGTTGTAATATTAGCCTAACGATGAAAACTTTTTTCTTATTAAAAATAAGGGCCTTTGTTAACAAAGACAGAAAGTTGTTAATAAAAAATGTTAACCTAATTCAAAAATTACAAATTATCGCGGGTGTTTTTTCAGCTATTGTTGGAGACAAAATTCACAGAATGCCCAACCTCATTGAAACAAACACTGTTAGTTACATTTAAAATAAAATGATACAACAACAAAATGTATACTTACTGTCACCAAGGAGGAACTAATGGTTTTACATGAAAAGTAATCGTGGTTAAAATTCAAAATTATTGTTGAAATACAAGCATTACATTACTAATAAGTAATGCAATATTCCATAACATATTGAAAATAATACCGTAATAATTGTTGACGATAATAATAACAATAGGCATAATAATAATAATAATAATAATAATAATAATAATAATAATAATAATAATAATAATAATAATAGCCTAAACAAAAACAATAATAATTATAATAATTAATAATGTGTATTACATAACTAGTTATAGTCTACTAATTATGTAGGTATGCTCGATTTTAATTCTCTAAGCTGGAATGTTTGCTATTTTGTCTTATTTGAATGTGTTCTTTTTTTTTTAATTTGAAAAGCTGTAGAACCAAAATTTCCTTGTATGTTTTCATATGAGGACAAATAAAATTACTTGTATCTTCTACCTTATCTTATTTTGCATGAAATAGTGTATTGATAAATACAAAATAATGACAGTTATTTTCATTAATAATGATATTATCTACCTACATAATTTATGTAACTAATATTAATCTGAATCAAAAAATTACAAATTAAAAGAAAATTCGTATGTGTTTAAATTAGTTATTTTCTTAAATCGACAAAGAATTTAAACAACGAAATTTAGTTTTTTATTCCAACAGGAATGCATGCATTTTGTTAAATTTTGATTTTTTTTTTTCACTTCGGTTTATGAATATAAAACTACAATATTAATTTGTATACTAAAGAAAACATCTACCAGTAAATTTCAAAATGTAAAGGCACTGTTTCACTGTTGTTTTCTTCACATTGTCTAGGCTTATTTGTGATTCCTAAAATTTACCTTAAGCTTTCATATTGATGGGTGATAAATTGTTTTTAATTCACACTACTGTGAACGAATCTTAGTTTCTCCGCATCCATCTGTCCGCGTGTATCATTAGCGAGAGCCATTGTCAAAGGCAATGGCGTTGGAGTATTAAACACCATGAGGCCAATCAACGAATTATTTGGAGTGCTGCAGAACTTCGATCATGAAAAGTTATTACTAGGATTTAGAAAAGTGGACAAAGCCACATTGTTTTACTCAAAACCCTAATCTATTATATTGATGGCTCACAAATTTGTGTATTGGCCCAATTTTTAATTCTAAAATTAATGATGAATGTTTTTTTAACACATTCTTTATGAAAGAACACTTTACTACATAAATATTACAATAATTAAATAAGTACAATAATTATTTTTTACAATAAAATTTTCGTTATGTTTATCTTTTCCAATTTGGTCAGTATTTATTAGGCCTAATATATTTTCATTGTAGACCACTACGTTATTATAGGCCGATTTTTAAATATTGCATATGCCTAGAAAATTTGTAAAATATAATTTAGGCCTATTTACCTGATACAATATCTACCAATATATGAATGTGTTCTACATTCTTTTGCATTTATTCGTTTTTACTTTTTTAGTTTCATATTCTATATTCACCATTATAATTTGAAAAAAAAGGTCGTTGTTGATGTGTCCCTTTTGATACAGCACCAACTTTATAACTTATAATTATTATACCTTGCCATACTATGGTGCTCATATTTATACCAGATACTGTACAACATAATTCCTCCTTAACTATTTTGGTTTTGTATTTCTATTATTAGGCCTATTACAGATATGTATATTTTCTAAATATTATTGGTCATCATCAGTCTTGTGACTTTAAATTTTACGATTTTTTATAGGCTTATATATTTTATTATGTAAACTATAATAAGTATAAAAATCGAGGATATTGAACAATGGGTTTATATAATGGTTTGATACGTAGCACCGTATTAAACACAATGTCAATAAATAGATAAATAATAGTAACATAACAATCTTAAAAATAAGAGCATATCTCAAAAATATATTTGAGCACTGGTAATATATTTATGCTGTGTTTTGGTGCTACACAGCAAAACAAGTTTGAGTGATATTTACTACAATGCTTACTTGGTTTCTATTTCCAAGTTTGCTGTAGTTTACAGCCTAAAGTGTTAATGGCAGCTACTGTAGTTACCTTACCTCATTATTGTGTATATTCGTAGAAACTCCCTTAATTGTAGTAATGCTAACACTGAACTCTTTTCAGTTTCTTATTTCCATGTCAAATAGGCTTATAAACAGATTAGCAAAATCAGAACCCATTGGAAATAAATTAACGTTTGTTGATTTTATTGGTCAATTTTCCTCTATAAAGTGTATGCCATTTTTTTTGT